CCCACCGCCACCCCCACTCCCCCAACTGCCGCCACCTCCACCTCCACCGCCCCCGCTCGCTCCTCCAGCACCCTTGCCCCCCTTGCCCTTGCCAGAGCGGCGTCTCCCGCTAGGGGCAGACGCCGCACCGACCGACTCAAGAACAAGGAGGTCGGCCGCAGCAGCAGAGGCAACAGAGGGCAGAAGGGGGGAGGGGGAACACCCCTCAAAGATGGGGGTGCGCGGGTCACCACGAGAGGCCCCTACAGCGACTATGCTCTTCTCGGCCGCTAGGAGGGACTTCTCGAGGAGGTCAACAGTGAGAGTGGTGGGACAGACAGAGAGAAAGTGGTCCCTGACTACGCGAAGGGAGTCAGGAAGGCGAGTGACTATGTAGTAAAGAGTGATGTACATGGGGGGGGGGTTCCTGGCGCAGAAGTCAGGAGGGAGTGCAGCGCGGTAGCGAGTGTCACTAGTGCGGAGGTGCGTAATGAGGTCAGTGACTGTGGGAAAGGCAGTAAGATCAGGAAAGAGGTACGGTAGCATGAGACGGCTCAGTGCAGCAGTGGTAGGGGAGGAGTAGCGCGCAACTACAGCGTCGTACAAGGTCTGAGCACTCTTGTACTGACTAAAGTGCGCACGCTCGGAGGTAGGGAGGTGGCGACGCACAGCAAGACGTGCAGCAGCGTCGCGCGTGGCCCACTGGGAGCGAACAGTGGCGTCAGCATCAGCAGCAGGGGCAGTGGAGGTGCCAGAGGTGAGGTCAAAGAGAGAGAGGCCGTCTGCCCTATCGCACTGTAAGAACAGCTGCAGGTCATCTACCCAGACCTCAAAGTCAATGGCCCTACCCTCAGCGTCAAAGGCGAGAACACTAGGGGTAGCCATGACCCTAGACGACTAGCAGCGCAAACAGTGGGGTGAGGACAGTGCAGTGAAAAGGCGCTGTGCTCACCAGACTAGGCAGGTCGGGCGGCCCTGAAGGAGGGCGGCGCGGCGGCTCAGCGGCTCAGCTGCTGGGCGGCCCGGCGGCTCGGCGGCTCTGCTGCTGGGCGGCTCGGCTGCTGGGCGGCTCGGCTGCTGGGCGGCGCGGCCGCTGGGCGGCTCGGCTGCTGGGCGGCTCGGCTGCTGGGCAGCTCGGCTGCTGGGCGGCTCGGCGGCTCGGCTGCTGGGCGGCTCGGTTGCTGGGCGGCTCGGCGGCTCGGCTGCTGGGCGGCTCGGCTGTGCTGCTGCAGGGCACGGGGCCGCAGGTAAGGGCGGCGGGGCCGCTGGTAAGGTGGCGGGGCCGCAGCAGAGGGCGGCGGGGCCGCAGGTAAGGGCGGGGCCGCAGGGAAGGTGGCGGGGCCGCGAGGAAGGGCGGCGGGGCCGCTAGGTAGGGCGGCGGGGCCGCGCGATGGGGCGGCGGGGCCGCGCGATGGGGCGGCGGGGCCGCGCGATGGGGTGGCGGGGCCGCGAGGAAGGGCGGCGGGGCCGCGCGATGGGGCGGCGGGGCCGCGCGATGGGGCGGCGGGGCCGCGCGATGGGGCGGCGGGGCCGCTAGGTAGGGCGGCGGGGCCGCTAGATAGGGCGGCGGGGCCGCGCGATGGGGCGGCGGGGCCGCGATGGGGCGGCGGGGCCGCTAGGTAGGGCGGCGGGGCCGCGCAATGGGGCGGCGAGGCCGCGAGGTAGGGCGGTGGGGCCGCTAGGTAGGGCGGCGGGGCCGCTAGGAGAGAGGTGGCGGGCCCGCGAAGACGGGCGGCGGGGCCGCGGAGACGGGTGGCGGGGCCGCAGTGCAGGGCCGCTAGGGCGGCTCGACGAAGTGAGGGCCCGAAGCGCGACTCGGGCTGAGCGCGCTTCGGGCAGGAAAAAAAAATCGATGTGGTGGGCCCTAAGCACAGTTCCCAAGGGGGAACCTGCTCGATACCATGAGAAGATTTGAACAAGAATGGATGAACTATGAAATGAAGTGAGTACAAATATGAAACCCTAATTGGTTGTACCCCCTATGGGATACCCCACTATAGCCTACACAACAGCATAAGCTATAATGTTCTGACAAGTCGGGCCAATCGCCTGCGCGCATCTGCGAGCGTGCGCACTGCTGTGTTCTTCGGGGCAACATTGGACAACCGCTCTGCTGCAGCGTTGGCACGCCGTCGACCTGCTCTGTTGGCAGGTCGCCTTTCCGCAGTGCTGGCACGGCTCTTCTACGCAACGCTGGCAGGCGGTCGACCAAGCTGTGCTGGCGGTCGACCAGGCTAGCTTAAGGGTTGCTAGGTGCCTGATGTAGTCATTGTTGTCATTGCTTGTTTAATGATTCTGTAATTCCAACTTTGCTAGTGGAAACTCTTGCCGATTACTCCCGTGAATGCGCAAGCACTAAGGAACTAAGCAAAGCTACGATCACTCCTAGTAGTTCGTGCCAACCCCGTAGTCTAGCTCACTACCGTTGTAGAGTGATTCTCCGCAAGCTGCAATTGTCGAGCTCTCTGGTCTACGGCTCCAGCCCCGTGACAGACCTGTGCAGGTCGACGACCACTTAGTCGTCCTGCCCCGCTGAAGAAGGCCGTCGAGCTCCCTGGTTGACGGCAACACAACAGTGATTCCCTGCAGCTCGACGAAGCCCATCGAGCAGCTCCCTCACTGTGAACGGTCGGCTGCTTCTCCCGTACATCCGACCAAGTCGTCGGTTTTGCCCAAGCGAGGGCGGGGCCAGCACACCATTTGCCGTTAACATCAGCGATGACGCAGCAGTCCCCGTTTTACCTGAACTACGGGCAAAATCCAACAGTGCCCATGACGCCGAGCCCGAACAACCCAACGCTACGCGTACAACAATTTGCCGAGATTCAGCAAGCTGCTCACACTAGAGTCGCAGAAGCAATCAAAAAAACAAATACCATCGCTATGAGAAATGCTGACTGCCTCCGCCTCCCAGTCACGTATCAGTCAGGAGACTACGTACTGCTCGACACACAAAATTTAGGTCTGCCCGTTACATCGAAACTTCGACCACGCTACTGTGGACCATTCCAAATCAGCCACATGCTTACCCCAGTGACAGCCCACCCACTGTTGCCGACGGACTGGTACATCAGCCCTTCGTTCCACGTCAGCCTACTTCACCCCTACATCCCAACCACAAGCCAACTGCCTCGTCACCGCCCGCCATCCATGACTCGCCCTGCATCGGAGCCGATCATCGAGCCCGAAAAAATCCTGAGCCATCGGATTCGACACCTCACGGGAATCAAGAGGATTGAATTCCTCGTTCGCTGGAAGGATCGCACGCCAACTGAGGATAGCTGGGTGCTCCTGGCCAACATTGAAAACCACCCTGCCCTGCAAGTGTACCTGAGGAGCCGGGGTTTCCGCGATACACACGCACGCGCGTAGCGGAGGGGGCTTCTTGGGGAGGGGGGGGGCGGGGGGTAGTGTAAGGAATTTTCTCGACATTCCTTACCACGACCAGCAACATCGCGTACAGCAGCAGCCGTTGTTCGCCTGTTACTGCTAACGGGGCTTCGCTAACTTCGCGCGCACTGTTTCACCAGACCATGCACCGCTGGCCTGGCCGAGTCGGCCTACGCTTCGGGGCTAGCCCGAACCTAGATGCCAGCCTAGCATTATCTAGCTCACACGCACCGTGTAACCGTTGCATGTTTTCGCATAGAAGTATTTGCTCATGCCTTAGCTCATACTTCGTACCTTTTGACCACAAAGTGAAATCCTCGCTAACTAGTTCCATTGCACCCGTAATAATGTCATTGTGGTTGTGTTTGGTTGGGGACTCTCCCCCCTCCCCCCCGCTCCCCGCTCCCCATCTCCCACCACTATCGAGCAGCGCGTGGCCCTCCGAACGAGCAGGGAAATCCCTCCCCGGCCCGCTGGCACCGCCCTCTTCCCGCACCCACCATCGAAGACCCGTCTCGTCAGCGCGTCAGCGTGGCTGGTCCACAGCTTTGGCTTGCCTGGTCGTCCTGATTTTGAGCACTGATCTGACCATTCAGACCAGACTTGGCTCGGCTGGGCAGCAGCAGACTCCAGACGAAATCCATCCGATGGAGTCGAACGGTCCTATCTTTTCCACAAGATTCCAGCGTGCTTGACTTCGCGGACTTACGTTTGCCATTTTGGCTGTGGCAGGGGCCAAGCAAGGAAGGATTTACTTTACGCGCGAACAGAGATGGTTCGTTTGTGTATTCGCGGAGCTTCCAGCGTGCAGATTTTCTCACTGATGACGTGGCGTGTAGCAGTTGGCTTGGCGTGAGATGGGACGTGCGTGTGGGAGGGAGAGAGAGATGGTTTGCGGCGGTGGCTGGCGGGCGGTTGGGTTGTGGGGCACTCACTCAAACGTGTGGGATGTAGCAGCAGTCCCTGTTTTTGCTAGGGACCCACACGTTGAGCATCCCATCCCATCCCATCCCACGACCGTATGTGCTCAACTAAAAAATACTACGCTTCTCTTCGTCAAGAATTGGTACTAGAAGCGATACCAGTTGCGCACACGCGCCGTTGACCACCAGTGATAGTCGCGACAGCGCGCCTCGGGTGGCATTCAATCTTCACAAGCTCTACTCGTAGTCGTAGTAGCAGTCCAGTAGATTCTAGGCCACGCGCATGCGCCTCGGTGGAACGCAATGCGACCGCGCCTCGTACTACTAGACGGCTTCCACTGCCTCGCGGCGCGGGTCGGCATCGACTTCACCTGCGCCCGCCGCGTCCTCTCCGGCAAGCCAGGCTCGGAACCCGAGATTAGCGCCGCCGCGTGCGCAACTCATAATGGCGGCAAGCCGCGGCATGACCCGGCAGGCGGCGTTGTTCCTTGGCCCGTGCTGCTCGTCGCGCTCGTGACTTCGGTCGCGTTAATTGTCCTCTTCCACACGCGCAGCGCGCCCATGCCGCCCATATGCATGCAGGAGCTTGAAGTGGTCGTGCGGCCCCTCCACGACTTTCGCGGCTCATGGCTGGCCCGGAAGGTCGCGGAAGCCGCCGGATGGCCGCCACCGCGCTGGCCAAGCCGCCGCGCGCCGAGTCGCGAAGCTATGAACGGCCTTGATTCGAAGTCGGAGTCGGATTCTCACCTCGCCGCCAATTGCCGAGTTAGTTTGTGTCGGTCGCTGCAGGAGTGGGCTTTACAGGGCAAGCAGAGAGAAGCCGCCGCTCTCAACGAGTCGCGCGTGGCGGAGGACGCGGCGGCGGCGCCCGCGGCTATGGCGGGGACGCCGGTGATGGGGTCCTTGGGCGACGCGCGCGAGCCGCCAGCGGCGGCGCAGAACGCGGAGCGACTGCGAGTGCAGCATGACGTGGCGCTGCTGTGCTCGGAGCCGTGGCAGCGCGCCGTGCAGGGCGGCGTGGACGAGAGCGCGTGGCTGCAGAGCGCGCAGCGGCACGGCTACACGAGCGCGGATCGGATCGCGCGCGGAATGGAGTCCGTGTGTCGCCGCCTGCGCCGCGTGCAGAGCAGCCTGCTCGCCCGTGGCAGCACGTGCCGGCACTGGCCCGAGCCGTGCTGGCCCGCGCCTGGTGTGCCCTTCTCCCGCAGTGTAAGCTCCACGTGAACCCACGGGCTACGAGGGCTGGCACTGGTGGTAGCAGATGTCCCGCAAGGGCCTGAGTTGGTTCCTGAGTCGACTAGAGAGTCGCCTTCGGTACCCACAAGGGATTGGTACAGCAGGGGAGTCTTACATTGTGGGTCATACGTTATGGGTGTGCCACACATTGATTGCACAGCATGCCTTGGCGGGTTGCGAGCCGGATGCCATACACCATTGCTGCACGCCCCGCCTTCCGCATGCTCCATGCCCGAGTCTCTCTACCCACCATCCCATCTGCTCCCTTCCCCCTTCCTCCCCTCCGCCCCCCCACCTCCTCCGCCCCCACCTCCCGTCGCGTCCATTCGCGCGGCGGGCAGGCGTTGCGGTGGCTGGACCTGCGCATGCGGAGGCGGTACCTGGTGTTCGCCATGTCGGAGGAGCAGCTCAGCAACGCGCGCTCGCACCTCGTGGAGGCGGCGCGCGTTGCGCGCATGGCCAACCGCGTGCTCGTGCTGCCGCTGGTGAGAGTGCTGCCGCTGGTGAGAGTGCTGCCGCTGGTGAGAGGCTGTTTTTGAAGCGCCTCAGAAAGTGTGCTGCTGCTGGTGAGAGTGGTGCTGCTGATGAGAGTGCAGGAACCAAACCCCATTGACCAACTCCGTGTAGACTCCATCAAATCCAAATTCTCCTCTCAGTCCCCCTAGCCCCTACCCCACCGTCATCCACCTCCCAGGGATGTCACAGCCAGTCCAATTTCTCACACCCCAAATTCTTCCTCTCTATTTCCCCTCCCCCTCCCCCGCCTTCCTCTCCCCCCTTCTCCTCTTTTTCCCTTCCCCTTTCCCCTTCCCCCTTCCCCTTCCCCCCTCCTCTCCCCTCTTCCCCTCCTCCGCTCCCCTTTCTCATCCCCCCCACCCACTTCCCCCTGCCCCATGCTCGTGGGTGCAACCCAGGGGAGTCGCAGCCAGATAGACCTCTCGCACCCGCTGCCGCTCTGCTCCTACTGGGATCTCACGCCCTTGGATGCGGCGCCCTGGATATCACCGGAGCTCTTCCTGCTGCTGGCGCGCGCAGCTCTCAAGGACCCCTCAGTGGGCTTCACCTGGGTCACATCGCCCTACCTCAACCGCAATCCCTTCGACTGGGGTCCGTTGCCGCATGCTTTTCTGCGATGTGCTTGGGGCCACGCCTTACCTCCCCCACAAATGCTCTGTCTGGGGTGGGCAGTTGCATGTTTGTGTGCGATGGTTTCGGGTTTGGATTACTGTTGGTGTTCCGACTGTGTGTCTGGCATGACTCTTGCAAAGTAGGTGGGTAGAATATAGTGAGTGAGTGCCTGAGTGAGTGTGGAATGGGTGAGTGAGAGTGTGAATGTGCATGTCTCATGATGAGTGTAAGCGATAGATTCTCTTTTATGTGTGTTTGCATGCGCGCGCGTGTGGGAGTGTGTGGGTGTGTGCGTGTGTGTGCGCGTGCACGCGGCGCACGTGTGTGTGTGCATGTGCGTAAGTGTATGTGAGTGTGTGCATGCCTGTGTGTGCACGTGTGTGAGAGTGTGTGCGCATGTGTGTGCGCGCACGCATGCACCTGTGTGCGTGCGTGTGTGTGTGTGTGTGTGTGTGTGTGCATGTGTGTGTGTGTGTGTGTTTGTGTGAGTGTCGGCATGTGCGTGTATACATGTGCGCATGAGTGCTTCTGCACCATCCCACGCACCATGCCTTCCCGTTTCCTCACTCCAAGTGTCGTTTCTGCCCTCCAAGTGAATCTACACCCCTTTTTCATCCTTGCGTTATTTTGTGTCTGTGGGGGCCATGGTGTGTGCGGGGTGGGTGCTGGATGGCGGCGTGACACGTGGGGCATGGCACGTGGGGCATGGCACGTGGGGCATGACATGACATGTGGGGGCATGGCATGTGTTTCATGACATGTGGGGCATGGCATGTGTTTCATGACATGTGGGGCATGGCATGTGAGTGGGCGAGCAGACATGGCGTCGGCGTTCACAGGGGAGGTGCTGACATTCGCGCTGGGCCACGTGCCAACAGAGCACAACACAGTCGTCTTCAACATGCCCGCTAACAAAGCTGACATCTGGAACCTCGTTCGCAAACAGTATGTGCGCTGCTGGCAGTGCGTGCGCTGCTGGCAGTGCGTGTGGTGCTGGCAGTGCGTGTGGTGCTGGCAGTATCTGCACTGCTGGCAAAACGTGCGCTGATGGCAGTGCGTGCATTGCTTGTTGCTGCAGTGTGTGTGCGAAGCTTGCCGCTGCACCTGCAACCCCATGGCAGCTTCAAGACCACGGTCACAATGTGGTGAAGTCACGAGAATGTGTGCCATGCCATGATACCATCTGCACCTTGCCAATCCTTCTGCAACACCCACCCGTGCGCCACACCCACCCGTGTGCCACACCCACCCCTGTGCCACACCCACCCCTGCGAGCACAGGAGGGATAAGGACGTGGTGCTGTGGTTCAAGACCACGTGGGAGCGCGTGTCCTTTAAGCCACACACGGACGACATAGCGCTGCAGCAGCTGCCGTACAAGCACGAGTGGCACTACCTCGCTGCACGCATAGTGGAGCATCTCCCCAAGCCCTTCCTGGCGGTGCACTTCCGCTCCGAGTTCATCGCCTTCAGAGTGGTACGCACGGCATGAGCGGTGGGCACGGCATGAGCGGTGGGCACGGCATGAGCGGTGGGCACGGCATGAGTCGGCTGGAAGTTCCAAGTGGACCATCTGTTCAAGCCCTTTCGATTTCACCTGCCCTGCTCCCCCACCCGCAGATGTCGGACAACCAGCTGCTCCCAAACGGGCACAGCAACGCAACGATGCTGAAGCAGCAGATGCAGTGGTGCACGGAGAGCGCCGTGCAGCACATCAACAAGGTCAAGCAGCAGCACAACATAACCGCTGTCTTCATAGCCGCCGATGTGCCGTACAATGCGTCTAGTGCGCCGTCACGGTCGAGCTCCTGGGGGTATATGGAGTGGCTGTTTGAAACGCCTGTTACCGGCATGGCAGCGCAGCAGCTGCACTGGCTGCGGTCGCACGTGAGCGGCACAGTTATGATTGATGAGCTTATTCCCGCTCTCAACTCGTACGATCCCGGTGAGTAGGTTTGGACTTGTATAAGTGAATTCCCCCTCTCAACTACTGCATCCGCGGTAAAATAGAATATTACGGGAAATGAACGAAAAAAGCGGGTTTGAAATTTTAGGCGACTCAACAGCAGCCGCACTGGCTTAGGTGTGTTGTGTGAGCGGCACGGTTACGATTGATGAGCTCGTTTTCGCTCTGAACTTGTATGGTCCCGGTGATTGGAAACCCGGGGTGCCTGAGAAATTATGATTTTTTAGGCGATTTCTGAGGCGCCTCAAAACTCGTTCCGTTCCACCTCCGAAGTGTTATCATCCCGGTAACTCTAGATGCACCGAGAGTGCCCTTTGACCGAGAGCGATTGATCAATGGCAGTCACGGAGGATGTGACTGGTATGGCTTCGTCTGCATGCGCGTACATGCGTGTGTCCGCACACGCGTGCATGCATGGGTGCTTGCGTTTTTGTGAGTAGGAAGGAAGCGCACTCAATGTAAGAGGGCACACAGGAAAAACGCAGAGTATTGCAGAAATAGATGCAAGTCTGTGGTACAGGACGACGAAGGGAAGAAAGTAAATCTACGGAGGAAAGAAGAGGTGTCAGAAACATCAAAAGTGGTCGACAAAGAGTAGGGAAATTTCAAGGAACAAAAAAAAAAATGATGGGAGCGCACAAAAAAAAAAATCGCTCAAGAGAGGTGATGCATCTCATGCAAGTGTGTACATGATGTAAGTATACCGTAAATACGACACCTAACGAACATGCATTGTATGAAACAACGATTTCATATCTCCTTGCAATGCTGGCAGGAGTGGTGGCGATTGTGGATAAGCTAGTGTGTGCCCAGGCAGCCATCCTGCTGGCGGGGTCAGAGCCGTGTGGAGGCAACCGGGGGTACGAGCATGACATTAGCAAGCACCGCGAGATGTTTGATATGCCGGACGTGGAGCGATGGGGCATGGATTTCCCCTCACCACCTCCTCCTGCTCCACCGCCTGAAGCTCACAAATGGGTGAGACTGTGTTTCTCTGCTGCACTCACAGTTGCATTCGAGGCATTGCTGTGCCTGTGCGTGTGTGTGCTGGTTTGTTTTCTTCCCTTACCTTTTTCTTTCTTTCTTTATTCTCACGAGGAAATGTGCTGCATGTTCTGCTGCAGGGGTGGCGGTCCTGGTTGCCAAAATAAGGTGTGCGCAGGCAAACACTCTTCTGGCTTTGCTGCATGGGGAAGCACGCCATTGGTCCAAGAAAGGTCATGTGGAATCATGTGGTGTGTGCTTGAAGAGTGGTTGTGCGGGAGCGACCACGGCAAGCAGAACTTGTGCGACTTGGGGTATGGCCATTTGGTGGTGGGGGGCAATACTGTAAGCTGGTGGTTACGGTACCAGGCTGGGGGACAAGAGTGGGGGGCGGGAGAGGGAGGAGGAAAAGAGAGGCGGAGGATGGAGAGGGAGGAGGAGAGGAATGAGGTTCTCGAGCCTTCTCTCTAGCAGCATATCTCACTGTGTAGGTTTGCAATTGCAAGCCATTGGGTTTTAAAGCTGAAGTATACATTTGTCATCCAGGTTTCGGGTTTAGGGAGTCGCCTCACGGTCTCACGGGCAAAGTTTCAAATTTCAAAAGTTTTTGAACCCCTTCTGTCAAATGTATACTAAATCTTTAAGTCATATGCCTACACGATATAAGCATACTAAGTGGATAATGGGCTGGCCAGATTAACTCCTACAGTTCCACTGTTCAATGCTGATTTTAAAGGTGGCACAATGCAGCCTTGGAGTTGAGGACATAGGGTCGGGGTTGCAGTAGAAACCGAGGACGGGGTTTGTTATTGCGTATTTCATAGCCTGGTACATGTGTTGATATATTATGCGTTGAAAGTGGCTCATGCGTTGTGCTGCTATGTTAGGTAGCATCATCAATGTTACCTAACAACTTCCGTATGGCATTATGATAAACATGATACATGTCTACACGGCATGACGCGTTAAAAACTCAGTACGGGTAGCGTCGAACGTTTACCGCTTTGCCAACACCCCAGTCACGAAGGACTCCTGTAAACGACTAGCTCTCGCTGGGGCCTTGCGTCGCACGTCGCACGACGCGCTGCCAATCCAACCGAGCAACAGGAGGAACCGGTACCGCAACGAGCTCTTGTCGCGCGACAAGCGCCCTTCACGCAGGCTCGTTCGCCTCTGCGCGTTCACGACTGCTGCCCGCGGCGCGACTGGTTTGAGGCTGGCAGAGAAAAGGGAGGGGAAAGGGAGGTGGAGGAGAGGAGGAGTGGGGGGGGAAGAGGGGGCGGGAGTCGCAGCTCGAACAATAATTGCCGGCGCAGTTTAGGGACACTTTAGGGACGGTTTAGGGACGGGGGAGGAGTTGAGACGGGGGAGGGTGGAGTTGGTGTGTGTGTGAGACGTGAGACTCTGCCTCACGAGAGATAAAGAGCGAAAAGGATACAGAGTTGGATAGAGAAGCGCGAGAGGAGCGCGAAAGAGGGCGCGAGGGAGTGCGCGACTCGTCGCCGGCGCGAGGGGTGAAAAGTGGCGCGCGGCGCGATGGAGGGCATGCGGTTCGAGGAGCTGCGGTGGGACGGCGACGACGTGTCGCCCGAGGACCACATGCAGCGCGCCGCGGGGATTGTGGCGCGCGCGAAGCGCGTCGTCGCGTTCACCGGCGCGGGGATCTCCGTTGAGTCAGGTGCGGCTGGCGCGGCTGGCGCGGCTGGTGCGGCTCGTGGTGCTGGTGGTGCTGGTGGGGCGTGCAGCGCAGCAGGGAAATCTCTGCAAGCGGATCTCTTATAACTCAGTTGTGGCTGTTGTATAGCAGGGCCCGCAACAGCATATAGGAAGATTTCAGTCTCTCAAGAACCGTTCACTGGTTGGGGAGGTGGCGCTGCTGAGTGAGAGCAGTGCTATTTGAATATGCTTTCAGCCCCCCTCGTCCCCTTTTCCCCTTTTCCCTCCCCTCTTCCTGCCCGCTTCCCGCTTCCCCATCCCCTCCTCTGTCTCTTCCCCTTCACCCCCACCCCCGACCACCTTCCCCCTGCGCCACCGCCCCCCAGGCATTCCGGACTTCCGCAGCGCGCATGGGCTGTGGGCGCGCTTCGACCCCGCCACCTACTGCAGCTACCCGGTCTTCCAAACCAAGTGCGTGCCCTCTGCCCACTGTTCCTGTTTTTTGGGGACGGGAGGGGACGGGAGGGGACGGGAAGGGGAGGGGAGAGGAGGGGAGAGGAGGGGGGGGGGAGTTAGGAAGCATGGGAAAAGGGGAAACAGGGAAGGAAGGAAACAAGGGTGAGTGGAAAAACGGTTTTGTTGACTTCCCTTCTCTCCTTCCCCCTCCTCCCCCTTTCCTTCCCCTCCTCCTCCTTTCCTTCCCCCTCCTCCTCCTTTCCTTCCCACTCCTCCCCCTTTCCTTCCCCCTCCTCCTCCTTTCCTTCCCACTCCTCCCCCTTTCCTTCCCCCCCTCCTCCTTTCCTCCCCAGCCACCATTGATCAATGGAACCCCCTCCCTCTGCCTCTCCCTTCCCCCCACGCCTCCCCCCCACTTCCCTCCCTCGTCCTCCCCGCGCCTGTAGTGCCCGTTCCCTTTCGTTCAACCGCCTTCCCCACAACCCCCACCGCCTCGCACCAGCCCGGAGATGCTCTCAGCCTTGGCAATGAATCTCTAAGGCAGGCACGCTCCAACCCAACAATGAATCAACCCCCATTCCTTCTCTTTCCCCTGCCCCTGCCCCCGTGGTCCAGGCTGAAGATGATATGGGAGATGCTGCGAGCGCTGCTGTCTGACTTGTCCCCGGCGCGCCCCTACCAATCAATCAATCCCTCTCCCTCTGCCCCCCATTCCCTCCGCTCCGCTTCTTCCCCCCCGCCCCCCCTTGGTCCAGGCCGGAGATGTTTTGGGAGATGGTGCGCGCACTGCTGGCGGACCTGGCCCCGGCGCGCCCCAACGCAGCGCACGTGGCACTGAGGGAGCTGCAGCACCTGGGGCTGCTCTCGTGTGTGGTCACTCAGAACGTCGATGGGCTGCACCAGGTGGGAGCGCGCAGCAGCAGGTATGCACGCGGGCCCGCGTGAGTGGGTGCGTGGGTGGGTGGGTGCATCTGGCAGGATGTGGATGGGCTGTATTAGACAGGCAAGGGAACGTGCCTACGTTAGACAGCCCAACCCACCCCATCTCACCCCATCCATCCCATCCCATCCCATCCCATCCCATCCCATCCCACTGCATGTGGCAGGAGGCGGGCAGTGAGGGCGTGGTGGAGGTGCATGGCAACACGCGCACGTGCACGTGCATGGCATGCGCCCACAGCGTACCCAAGGAGGTCGCACTGACGCAGCTCGATAAGGTCCGCCCGTCGGTTTACTCTCTTGAGTAGACTCCAACATACATCCATCCATCCATCCGTCCGTCCGTCCGTCTGTCGATCCATCCATCCATCCATCCATCCATCCATCCATCCATCCATCCGTCCGTCCGTCCGTCCGTCCGTCCGTCTGTCCGTCCGTCCATCCGTCCATCCCTCCGTCCGTCCGTCCATCCGTCCATCCGTCCATCCGTCCATCCGTCCATCCGTCCATCCGTCCATCCGTCCATCCATCCATCCGTCTATCTGTGGCTCTGCTTGTGGGTCCGTGCTCGTGACCACAGCGAGTCCAAGGAGGTCGCAGGGGCGCAGCTCAATAAGCTAATTCCCCTCCCTCTCCACTGCACTCTGAACCCACTGGCAGTGCTGCTGTGTGCTGTGGTGTGTTCTCGTGCTGTGGTGTGTTTTCGTGTGCTGTGGTGTGTTCTGGTGTGCTGTGGTGTGTGTTGAAACTAGCCATGGTCCGCTCCAGAGAGCCCATGCCGCAGGGCCACCTGCCGCCACTCTTCTCCCCTCAACTGCACATTTCCCCTCCTCTGTACCTCCCTCCACCTGCCACCCCACGCCCTACTAGAAGTGCAGAGTGGCAGTGCCAGTGTGCTCCCGTGTGCTCCCGTGTGTTCCCGTGTGTTCCCGTGTGTTCCCGTGTGTTCCCGTGTGTTCCCGTGTGTTCCCGTGTGTTCCCGCGCGCTGAAACTGGACGTAATCCTTTTTGGAGAGCCCATGCCTCCACTTTACCTGTCTCTAGCCGTCTTCCCTCGACCGCACATTCCACTCTCTATGTACCTCACCCTCCTTTCTACCGCACACATCCCCCGTGTGCAGGGAGTGGCAGTGCCGGTGTGTCCAGTGTGCTCCGGTGTGCTGAAGCTAGACGTGATTCTCTTTGGAGAGCCCATGCCTGCAGCGGCCATGTCTGAAGCTGTTGCTGCTGCTGCGTCCGCTGATGTGCTGCTAGTCATTGGCACTTCTCTCATGGTAACGGCACTCTCATGCTCAACCCACTCTCCCATGCTCAACCCACTCTCCCATGCTCAACCCACTCTCCCATGCTCAACCCACTCTCCCATGCTCAACCCACTCTCCCATGCTCAACCCACTCTCCCATGCTCAACCCACTCTCCCATGCTCAACCCACTCTCCCATGCTCAACCCACTCTCCCATGCTCAACCCACTCTCCCATGCTCAACCCACTCTCCCATGCTCAACCCACTCTCCCATGCTCAACCCACTCTCCCATGCTCAACTCACTCCTCTCATTGCCGCACCTTTGCCTGCCCCATTTGAAAAAATCTTCCTGACTTTGTCTGCAATGCGAAAGACTTTAAAGAATTTGCCTGTTCCGCGATACCATGCCTTCTGCAACCACAGCATGCCAATTCTTCCTAACACTCCTTCCTTCGTCCATCTCATCTCTCCAATGTCACGCCCTCTCTTTCTCTCACCCATCTCTGCCCTCTACTCTACCCTCTCCCGTTCTCCTCACACACACCCTCGCCGACTCTGCAAGGTTGCATGCGAACTAACATGCCTGTCTCGTGCCTTGTCCCGCCTTCTCACGCACATGCATCCCTATCTAGCACCGGCCAACAAGCCCCACACACACTCGTGCCACATGTGCAGCAACTTCCTAGTCCACTCAGCATTCACCCCTTTCCCCCCGCTTTCTCACACACATGCGTTCCCCATCCCCAGGTGGCGCCAGCCAACAGCCTCACGCACATGTGTCGAATGCGTGGAGGCAAGGTGATAGCCGTTAACCTCGACCCAGATGCGTTTGTGTCTGCAGATGTGGGGCTGGAAGGCAAGGCAGGGGAGGTGCTGCCGCAGCTGGTGGCAGCAGTCAGGCAAAGACTGGGGAAGGTGCAAGGGGTTACTGCTGCTGCTGGGGGTGATGGGGTGAATGGGCCGGGGGAGAGTGAGGGAGGGGCGAAGGGAATGCTTGGAGGAATCTTGAACCGATTAGGATTTAGCTAGCAAGTATGTGGAGGCTATGATGCAAATTGATACGTATTCCATGTATAGTTACACTCACAAAAGCTTCTCCAGACCGGCTTCTTTGGCAATGAAAGCATTCCAGCTCCGATCTGTGTCACAAATGCAATCTACCCTAGAGAGTTTTCAGTAAACTCTCTAGGGTGTGGAACATCCTGAGAGATGTTGTAGATTGTATCGTGAAGTGTAGCTTCGACGGTCTGAACCCACGGAGTAACGCGTACGAAATTCCTTGCTCTCCACGCTTCTGTTACACCGGTATCATCGCAGTTTGCCCTCGGAAACTCCGACCTGAGTGGCGGGAGATTTCAACCTACAACTGTCAGAGGCAGGCGCAGGAGCAACCAAGTGACCCAGTAGCAGCCGCAGATGCTGCAGCAGTTTGGCTGGCAAGCAGTTGTGTTGTGGTTGTGGTGTTCCATCCCATTCTCCATCCCCATCCATCCGTTCTCCATTCTCCACCTCCCGTTATCCAGCGCCAACCTCGATCTTGCTTCGCGTCCGCCTCGATATTTCCACGCACACTTTTCCAGTTGCGGATTCCCGCAGTCTGTGTTCCGCCTTCGTCTCCTCTCTGAATCCCACACGTCCGATCACCGCAAAGTGACATCGTGCGGATCTTGCTATCCTGATTCTGAACCCTTTTCTTCCTCTTTTCAGTGCTCTGGAAAACGCGAATTCTGAACTCGTTCACACCCTCGTTTCTCCAAATTCGTACGGATCGAGCTTTCCCTCCACACACTCACCTGACACTCGCCACTTCGCTATTCCGAATCTGCAAGGTCGAATATCGACTATCATCTGTTCACTCATCTCCTGCTCGCAGCAGCCATGGTGGGCGGGTCGCTATTTTTCCCCGATCCGTCAACCCCGCTGTCAGCATCGCCGCCGGATCCTTACTCCTCGCGCCTCTTTGGCCGATCGGCCGCCACGGGAGCTTATGCGAACGCTAACGTTGGATCGCCGTACAATCGATCGCCCGCGATCCCCGTCTCTTTCCCGCCGGACGATCCCTCGGCTGCTTCGCCGTTCTCGAGAGGTACGCACAGCAAGCGGAAGCGTTTGGTCATCTATTTTCGCTGGTTTTCCCTGGGTTTAGCTCGTCGGGTTTCATTGAATTCTGGCGTTGCGGCGGGTTCACTGGATCGCACATTTAAATCCCACCGTATTTCTCCACTACTCTGCTCTTCCCACCAGCAGATTACGGCCAATATGGAGCTCCCAGCGCAACAGGCCTGTTCGGCCCTCCTCCCACCGCCACGCCCGGCGGTAACGGCTACATGGATCGCGGGTTGTCGTCCCGCTCCCCCACCTTCTCTCACTTCCCCTCCGCCACCCCCCTCGCGGACTTCCGCCGCGCAGCTCCGCCGTCCACGTCGCTCCTATACCACGACTTGCGCGCCACGCCGGGGGGGGGAAGCAGGGGGAGCCCAATTGCCATCGCGCGCGGGTCCCCCGTGCAGAGCACCGCGGCCGCCGCCGCCGCCGCCGCCGCGCTTTGGCGGACTTCCTCCGGCGCGGGGTCCCCTGCGGAGCCTCCGCCGCCGCCGTTTCTCACACTGGCGGACCAGTTTCACCAATCCCCCTCCGCCGCCCCCGCCGCTACCCCTCTGCGCCCTGTTCCCGTGAGCACCCCGGGCCCGTTCAGAAACCCCGCTACAGGAAGCTCCGCTTCAGGGACGCCCGGTATTGGTTACTATGACGGTCGCAGCGGGTCTCCGCAGACTCCGGGTATGAATGGATTAGCCGGATCTTCTTATAACGCGAACATCCCGGTTTCGGGGAGGTTTAACTCTCCCGAGCTGCAACAGCAACAACAGCGGCAGCAGCAGCAGCAGTGGCAGCAAGGGTTTAAGGTAACCGAGACCGGTATGACGAACGGTTTCGCAGGAGGCGCGGAAAGTGCGCAGTATGGCGGACCTTCGGGCGCGGCGCAAGGCGCGCAAAATGCGCAAGGAGCGGGGAGAGGAGAGCAAGGTCGGGGAGTGGCGCAGGCGCAGCAGGCGGCGCAGAAGCAGGCGGGAACGGACGCGTGGGGCAAGGGGCAGGTGCAAGACGGGCAGAGGGGCGGGGATAATTTGAAGGATGGCGGAACGTGGGTCACTGTGTACGGGTGCGTACCCGTGTGCCTTGGCGCTTCTTCATCTTCTTTTAAGCAGTAAACGCTTACTTGTCGAGCGTTGAACCTCAAACGTCAAACGTTAACGTTCCTTCAAATGTATTCAAGGCCTACCTCCGTGCCCTCTCTAATAGTGTACTTGGGTCCCCCTCAATGTCTCGAATCGCACCCCTTCATCCTGCCATCACAACCAGCTCTCTGGATTGCCCGAAGTGCCTCAGAGCTCGTCTAGCTGTAGTGTGTCGTGAGTCGTTTTCACACTTGTCCTTACTCCCCCTCTTCTGTGTGCCTGTGTGTTTCTCTCCCTCGTCTCCCTCCGCATCTCCCTCCGCATCTCCCTCCGCGTCTCCCTCCGCGTCTCCCTCCGCGTCCCCCTCCGCGTGTCTCTCCGCGGGTGCGCGCAGTTTCCTCCCGGAGGAGCTACCGCTGGTGCTGCGGGAGTTGGAGGGGTGCGGGCGAGTGGTGGAGCACGTGCCGTGCCCCGGACGCGGCAATTGGGTGAATCTCAGGTTCCAGGTGCGCCGGAAGCGGGGATGGGGGTGTGGGGATGTCGGGATGTGGGGCGCAGGGCGTGTGGCGTGGGGCGTAGGGCGTGGGGCGTGGGTGATTGCGCGCGTGATGTCTGTGGATCGTTGCCTTATGATTTGATTCCAAAGAAATGATAACGGATGTCCACATGGGGGGTTTGGAACCCAGACTTCCCACCACATTGAGCACGAAAGCTCCCTGTCTTTCCTCGTTATTCTTGCTCTCTCGCCCTCCAAATTGCTTTTCTTTCACTTGTAGAACGAGTAAAAGAAATTGTTGTAGCAGCTACCACGTCAACCCATAGAATGAAAAACCGCCTTTCCTTTCTGTTCCCCCTTCCTGCGCCTCCTCCCCTCCTCCGTCGCCTCCGTACCCCCCCCTTCCCCTCCTGTTTGGTGTCACGGTTACCAGACAGCAGCGGAGGCACAGAGGGCGCTGGGGCGGTCGGGGCAGCAGATCTCTGCAGGCACCATCATCGGCGTGAAGCTCATGCAGGGGGACTGCAGGTGAGACGCGCTTCACAGCTGCGTGTGCTTCTAGTGCCAGGCGGCTGGCTGCTCTACGTGCTCGATAGGGATGGTGTGATGGTTAGGGATGGCATGATGGTCCGGGATGGCATGATGGTCGGGGATGGCATGATTATTCGGGATGGCATGATGGTGTATGGATTACACCTTGAGGAGATGTGGGGTGGGGTGTGGATGTAGTCATGTATAAGATGGGATGTTCTCAGGGGCTTGACAAGAAGGGCGCATGAGTGTGGTCATGGGTGATGTGCAAGGGTTCAACCATTCCTCTGCATGGCTGAGTCAATGCATCAAAGATTCCTGCAATTGTGTACCTATATCCACCTGCATTCATCAAACAATTTTGTTCATTGCCAGGCCCACACACCTCTCATTTCTTCCTTCTCCCGCCCATTCACCCGCACCCCACACTCCCCAGCAGCACAAGCTCCCCCCTTTCAGCACCCGCCCCTCCCCCACCCACCACCTCTTCCTCTGTCCTCTTCTCCACGCGCCCTCCTCCTGCCATGTCGGGTGCTCCAGTCGCTGTGCCACAGCCTCAATCCCGCACTACAGACCCTGCTCGCACGACCTCCTTTTTGCCAGGCGCAAGTACTACTTTCGGATACCACTCTGTTCCTGCTGTTCCCTTCACAACTGCTGCTGCTGGTGCCGATGCCGGTGCGCCAGGGGGTGTTGCGGCTGCTTCAGGGGTTGCGTCTGTGTGGCGGGGTGGCGGGCTGTTTGCTGCTAGTACTATGGATGGGCACGGTGCTGCAGTGCCTATCGCCTCTGCGAATCAGTCTGTGTGGCAGAGGTTGGTGGATGTGGTGTATGGGCTCTAACACGCTGGCTGTATGCTGTAGTAAGGGTGTCACCCGCTGGCACATGCAGCTTAGCATACAATACCATACTACGAGTCTGTGTTGTGTGCCTTGCAGTGGTCTCTGGGTGGCCTGAGTTTTTTTTTTACGAGAACTGGTCCAAGTTCTTATGCTCTGAAGATGCTGCTGACATTTGATTTCTAGCTTCAGCAAGTCTGTAAGGATTTACAAATCTTTACTGAGGCACTCGTTAGCAAGGCCATCCCGAGGGCCATGTGACCAACCGGTTCGGCCTACATTTCCGCACCCAAACCGAGTTGCCTCCGCAGCATTCGCTACCTTTCGCGAGCCTTCCTTTCCCGACCCCTTCGCCTAGCTAGGTCTCGTCACTTTCATTGTACCGTCATCGCCCGGATATAAGACATATATGTCTTATCTCGTACACGGGCAAAAATGCTTGAGTTATCTTGTAAACGGGATGGTTTAGGGTGTCTTATAAGTCTTATAAATGGAAACTTTTTAAACTACTTAGAAATATTTTCCGTACTTCTTTAAAAAGAGTTTCTCATAATGCGTGTGGATGTTGCGAAGGTGCCACTTCGACAACCTCTGCCCGAGACGCCACGTTATGGAGAACACCTGCAGGGGCAAATTTGGTAGGTCCTGGGTCAGCGCGTGGAAGAATTCGCGCTTCGCAAGGGTAAAAAAGTACGCGGTACTTCAACTTTCGCTATAATTTATTGAAGTTTCGATTATAAGACATATATGTCTTATCTCATACACACAAATAGGTGTCTTATAATGAGGCTAGCCTGTTTATAAGAGACACCCGTATAGTAGACAACCCCTGTCTACTATTCAACACTGTCTTATATCCGGGTGATGACGGTACGTATGTCTTTCAGTAATTCTCATTCTGCTCACTCTGCAAAGTCACCATTAGTGGTCACAACAAAGTCACCATTAGTGGTCTGTCTCCACAACATGTTAGATCATATAAGCTATACACATACCATGAGCAATGGGCAAAGAATCTACACATGCCGTACTAATACCCACTCCTAGGAAAAAAACTATCTAAAACCCTAGGTGCAGTCAGGACACGTGAAGTGGCTGATGGTATGCACTCTTTCTACAGGAAGTCTGACGCACGCTGGATGGAACCTGCACCGGTGAGGGTCAGCAGTTAGCGAAACGAAATGCTTGTTGTGAAACGGACATACAAGGCGGGGGGTTGAAAGCTAATGAATTGAATCAGGCCAAGCAGAATGGGGATGCGTACCAGTCTCTGCACTTCTCGCACTGAATCATGAGCTCGTCAGGGTTGTAAGGCATCTCACATGTGCAATACCTGTCACCACCAACACGAGAGATACAGCGACGGGCGGCATCAGTGATGAGTCTCCGCGCTTCCAGACATAACGAGAGTAGCTACAGTAAGATTTGGTTTAAAGGAACTTGAGAGGATAGTACTCACACGGCGACGCGGTCCGGCATGAAAGTTCCTGTGGCTGCTTTGTACTCGAAGCGACAAAAGAAATCCTCCTCTTCAACTGTCGATAACGTGGTATACTCAGCGAATGAATGTACTCGGCACGTGCTCTCCACGGCCTCTGGATGACACCTATCGCAATGATCGGATAGAAACAGCTCCTTCGAGCCATGGAATTGCCTTCGACCTCCGATAGAATCCTCCGGACGGTAATACCAGCGACACTGCATGGTGACGCGGTTCGAGGAGTCTGCTTCTATCTTCTCAACTCGAGCAATATAAGGCGGCGTGTTCGGGTCCGGTGCGCGGAGAAGGACGCATACGCCAGCTGCGGAGAGGGACGGAAAGCGGAATCAGGAATAAGCTCAGAATCATGTTCTCGAGAGTTGAAAACCTAACACAGCCAAAAAAGGTAGAGACTTGATTTATTACGTCTTAGCGTCTCCCCGTTGGCCTGATAAGATTCCAGCTGACGCTTAGCCCTCTTCCTCGCCATACGCGGCGAACAACGATCCTGAGTTTGCTGATCTGGTGCATGTTCAAGAGGGGAAACTAAATTGCCCAAAAAGGGAAGAAGCTCGCTCTTACAACGTCGCTCCTCACAAACACTATGTTCTCTGCTTGCTAGCTCCCCCTCTTGCTTTCTCAGCTCTACACATCACCTCACCGTGCGTGTATTGGCGACGAGGTGAAAGTCTTCGCAGGGTTTGGTTTGGTTTCGGCACGCCAGGACGAATGTGCGCATCAAATAAACCAGCTGTTCCCTTGGGATGCTGACAAACAAGTACATGAGGGTTTGCACCCCACAGCTGTTTCCATCATTGGGGTCATCGGAAGAAATGCGCTGGGTGGGCTGGGAATGCTGGTGCCCTGGTGGTGGTGTGATTTACAGCTGGTAATGACCCTCTAAAGGTAGGTGTGGGAACCACACAGCAGTGCCAGGTAGGGGAACCTGGTTATCCGAATATTATCCTGATGGGACTTGGTGTGCTGGATTCGGGTGAGTCGTGGAAGAACGAAACGTCGAGCACACCTGACTTGCCTGATGTGAATGCCTTTGAAGGGCTCATGTGATCCGAAGGGTCCCACCCACACTTAGGAGCAAAATAAAACCTCATTTTACCGAATCAATCTCGGACGTTAGACCCGCCCTCCTCTCCAACCAAGTCCTCAACTGAACAGAGCCTGACTAACCCGATCTGAGGCTGATTGCCTCGATCCCGCAATCCACAATTTCTGAGAAGTTCCAGAGGGTACTTTTGGGCAATCGGGGGCAATATGTCGATCGAATTCGAGATTGCGAACGATTGCGATCGATTGCCTCGATCTGATGCAATCGATTGCAACCGATCACGATCGATAGCTTGGGAGAATGGCGATTATGCGCGACCGTCGCTGAGGTTCGCTTCTGCTCGCTGCTACAAAACATCTCGCGACAGTCGAATTTTCCCGACTGAACCTCTGGACCAATCAACACAGCCCCAATGAAAATGAATGTGACACGCGTAATGGGGCAACACTGTAATTGCACGATACAGATGTACTCGCTTGGTTTCGCCAAATTTGAGCTGGAAAGAACACACTACTATCAGATCGCGCGATCACACTCATCCGCTCGCAATCTGATCTAATTGCTTACCGAAGCGTGAGATCGAGGTTATCTGCACCACGTCCTTGTCGCGCATGCCACCCCTCAACTTTCGTAGAGGCATTAGCCCAGTTTCACGCCGTAACTTCCCAACTAGCCAATAAAGCCTTTTAAAGCAGTTGGTCCTTCCATCAACTTCTGTAACTTCAACAAAAAAAAAATGAAGCGATGCTGGTGGGGGTTCGCGGCTGGTTGGCTTGGCACATCGCCACACTTGACAAAGGGCACAAGGCCACCGCCCTTGACAACGCGGGGAAACGCCACACTGATTTTTCAAGGCTTGCTGGGCAGGACAAGTTCTGTTTGGAGCTGTCCGCATGGAACGAAAAGGTCTCCGAGCGGGGGGGATGCCGCCAGTGTCGGTCGCAATCCATCCAGAACGGAACGGAGGAGGAACCCATCAAGTTGAAAACCAAGTTTGAATGAAACCTGTTCCACCGCTACAAGATTACGCACATCGACACGTGAGAAGACTTTGTTTGAAGGGACCTTTTTTGCGTTTGTACCCGACTCAATTTTGAACATTTACAAAACAACCATTCCCATTTATTCCCTTCCATGTCGGCGGTGTTTGCCAGCAACTTTGAAAATAGATGGCATTTTGACGGCATCGGAATGGTGACCGCATCAGGAACCGGGGGCGGAACCCGCCCAAGAGGTCTGGGCGTAATGCCACCCGCGAAACTTTGATTCCCAAAACGGGAAAATTAGCAACCGCATATGGAACCCCCAGCCCCACCTTCTAGATCTACTGGCGCGAAATTTTCGCGCCACTGACCATTGCCTGACCAAGGGCCAAAAACAAACCAGGGTACAAACGCAAAAAACAAAATATAGGTGAGGTGAATTAGGTATGTGACTGCGAAAAGGATCGCGATTGATTTCGAAGTACCACCGTTGCTTGAGTAGCTCCAATGCGTATTTGGGATGGGAAAGTTGGGGGTAACGAACCCCCATTTGTCAAACATTTGGGGGGGTCAGAGGTTCCCCTCTACTCTGCAATGCCAAAGCCATGCCATCGCCATTCACCTTGGAAAGGTGAATGGCGATGGCATCGCAGGGGGGTTGTTTTGCCAGGGAAGGAAACCGCAACCCCATTTCCATATGCGGTCGTGCATTTCGAAGTGGGTGAAAATCGGGGGCGTTCGCCACGCCCTCACGTTTCTAAGAGGTTTGGACGTCATAAGAGGCTCGGCAACATTTTTATGGGCTGACCAGTCTGACGGTGGATAACAAACCCTAACTGACGGGATCAGGAAGGTGAGACTGACCTTCCTGATCCCGTCGTTATCCCCTCGTTTTTGCTTAGAAATGTGCTGGCGAACACCGTCATCATGTGACACAGCACCTGCGTTGGTCTTCCTTTTCGCGGCTGCTTCCGGCTTCTAGCTGCGTTGGTCTTCCTTCACATTGTCTTAACGGAACAGACGAGACGGCACTGTCGATTATTCTGCCGTTCTAAACACTACCGAAATTTCTCTAACAGAGAAGAAAGAGAACTGTTCTACGCAAAGTGTACCAAATATAAAACACCCTGAAAAAAAAAAAAAACGCTCTCGATGCTCGGTCACTATACTATACACTTCATTCAGGGATGGGCAATTTAGCTGACATCCGCCCAACCTTGAGAGATTGGCCGAAAGGGAACGTTGGTTGGCATGGCTGGCAGTCTAGAGGGTTTCTGCAAAAGAGACTGGGAAAAAAATAAATTGGGGCCATACCGTGCCAGAGGGGTGAGCAAACAGGAGCCGAGAGGCCCAGAACCAACCAAACAACAGCACGCGAGGGGAATGACAGAGGGTCATCGTTTATCACTTAGTTAATATTAGCGAGCCCCGTAGCGCTACTAACGCTACTGAAGCTACCAAGGACGGTTAGGACAGCCCGAAACAAAACTAAAACCCCTATGGAACTTGGAAGCTTTTTCGGGATAGATCAACCCTAACCACGCGAACCCTCTTTGTGAGAGTACGATGGCTTATGCTGGCTTTGCTAGCTTGCCTAGACTTTATTATACTATATCTAGCTTGGGTTTTATTTATCATGCATAGATATGCTTGATTTCCTAGGTTAGGTGCATTCCTATATTTTATTTTAGTTATAGCACTGAAACAGGCTACGTGTACCGAACTCAAGCCTTTTCGGTCGCCACCGAATTGCTTTCTACTGAGTTCGAGAAGGTTCTGTTCGGGACGCTTCGCGACCCTCAGAACATTAAGGTAACACCTGGGTAACTGGCCTTGTGTCGAGACTATATATAGCCTCGTGTTGTACCCAGGTGAATCATTCAATTCAAACTCTCTTTTCTGAGCTCGATCCTAGATCCTCACACTTGGTAATCAAAGCCTGTTTATGCGCGGAGTTTTCGACCACTAAAAACTAGCTTTTAAAACCACGGGGGCGACGACGGGAAGCGCCGATTTCGGGTACGTAAACCAAATCCGCGCTATTTTTTAACGTCCCCCTCGAACCGGTTTTCGAACACTCCTCAGGTCCAGTGGCGAATTTCGACCGTCGGATCGATTCGAATCTCAACGGCCCTGAGAATTTCGCCCAAAACATTTGGAATTTGGAGCGTCGGATCGAATTTCTTCTCAACGGCCGAGATCGGACGTGAATTTCGACTAAGGGAGAATCACGCGACCTACAGAATCAGCGCTCGTTCTTTCTACATTCGATTCGACTCACAGTAAGATGACCAGCGCCTAGAATTCAGAGCCTAGACCAGACGCGAGCGGCACTCCAACGAATAGAGGAGCTCCTCGCGAACCAGTCGGCACCCGCCACAGCAACAGCGAACGCAGCAGCGAATGCAGCACCAATGGCAGCAGCAACAGCGGTGACACCGACATTTTACCCATCAGCAGCGGCAGCGGCTACAGTGAATCTTGAGGCGGCACGTCCGAGGCTACCAGAGACGTTCAATCCGAATGCGAGAGACACCGACGTCCGTCGATTCATTGCGTGTCAAACTTATATGCTATGGTCTATCTAGGCTGTAGTGGGGTAGACACTATAGGGTACAACATTTCTAGGTTTCCTACTTGTACCCACCTGCTTGCTAGTTCATTCATTTCCTCATTTCTTCACATGGTATAGAGCAGGTTCCCTAGTGGGAACGCTTCTCAGGGCCCACCACTGAAATCGTTTTTTTTTCCTAACCGGAGCGCGAGTCGCCCCTACCCGAGGCGCGCCCCGTTGGCCGCCCTCACGTCGCGTCCCCTGCCCTTAGTGGCCTGTCGCGCCCTCCTAGAGGCCCCTCTCACGACCCCTCGCGCCACCCTTAGCGGCCCCGTCGCCACCCCTTACGGCCCCGTCGCCGTCCTTTGCGGCCCCGTCGCCGCCCCTCTAGGCCCCTCGCGGCCCCTTCGCGGCCCCGTCGCCGCCCCTCTAGGCCCCTCGCGGCCCCTTCGCGGCCCCGTCGCCGCCCCTAGCGGCCCCGTCGCCGCCCTTCGAGGCCCCTCGCGGCCCCTTTGCGGCCCCGCCGCCGCCCCTAGCGGCCCCGTCGCCGCCCCTATCGGCCCCGTCGCCGCCCCTAGCGGCCTCGTCGCCGCCCCTAGCGGCCCCGTCACCGCCCTTCGCGGCCCAGTCGCCGCCCTTCGCGGCCCCGCCGCCGCCCCTAGCGGCCCCGTCGCCGCCCTTCGCGGCCCCGTCGCCGCCTCTAGCGGCCCCGTCGCCGC